TCAAATATCACTTATTTAAGGAGGTAAAATGTTGACAAATGCTAGCTATTGACATTTTTGATATCATGCTATATTTGACTTCTTTAATATCTGTAACCAATGATGTATTGTTTTGGAGGCTCAGTGTCCTATCAAATATGTAAGCTTATAAGAAAGATACGTTCTTGAGTATGAGAGTGTCACTGGATTGCTAAAAGGTTTAACGAAAGCTCTGACAACAAGCGAATACAAACGGTGCTTCCATAGGTTAGGACATTAACCAAAACCTAAATGGGATAGTTTAGGTGTTGTGCATTCATGTCGAATTGCAATTCTCTACATCCTTAGATTGGTTGATGTTAGATATTTTCATTATCCATTTGTTATTATTCTTTTTAGTATTAGATGAACTTAGTTGTGTGTCCAGATTTTCAGTATAAGGCTAGTTAGGCGTGCATGGAGAAATAATGTCATAGGTCTGGAGTCCTTTGAATTTCTAATTTTGATTTTGTTCTATTTCAAGCCAGCTGGCTGGATACAATTTTTTTTTTTCCAGGTTTTAATACATATTAAATCTAGGATAACTGCCTATTTCCACCGTTGGTTAATTAGTGAAATTTCCATATATGTGCATTATTTTGAATACTTGTTATTTTATAGGATGCTATTAAAACTGCCCTGTTGCTTGGGGCTATAGACCGTGAAATTGGAGGAATTGCTATCTCCGGAAAGCGTGGAACAGCCAAGACAGTAATGGCACGTGGATTGCATGCAATTTTGCCACCCATTGAAGTAGTCGTTGGTTCAATGGCAAATGCTGATCCAGCCTGTCCCGAAGAGTAAGGATACTGAATGCTTACAGGTTATTTTGCGATCAGCATAGATAGAGGGGGTAATTAGGGATGTACACTCTCAGTTGATGGCATGATTCACTTGCTTTTCTTCGCTAAAGCAAAAACGAATTTTGGCTAATATAGTTTGTAACCTTTTTGGCACGTGACAAGTTATGGAACTCTTTTTATTTTATTTTTATGGAATGATTTACTCAATTATGTGACTTAAGAAGGGACATATCAATGGAACGGATTTACAGCTTGCTAAGATCACTTTAATCCATCTCTTGTCATAATGTCATCATAATGACCCATATATCAATTTAAAAAAAATAAAGAACCATGCTTTTCTGCATAGATCCTATTTCAGTCAGAACCATGTGCAATTGATGGAAACAGTGGGGAGTGGCTGTTGGTTTGAAGCTTAAATATTTACTCATCTTTTAATGGCCTAGAAATTCTCATACAAGAAGTTTTGATCAGATGTTCTGTTTGCACTTTCTCCAGTTGATCTTGTGCACTAATCTCTTTCAATGATAATGGTTTGGTTGTAATTCTTAAAGGTGGGAAGATGTTTTACCTGACTGCATGGAGTATGATTCTGCTGGTAATATCAAGACTCAGATTGTCAGGTCTCCTTTTGTTCAGGTACTTGTCATTGAAAGATCTTTTCATATTCATATTATTTTCATGTAAACACACTACTTTTCACGTTGTAGATTCCACTTGGAGTCACAGAGGACAGACTCATTGGGTCTGTTGATGTCGAGGAGTCTGTGAAAACAGGAACCACTGTTTTCCAGCCAGGCCTTCTTGCTGAAGCTCATCGAGGTGTATTATACGTTGATGAAATTAATCTTTTGGATGAGGGTATTAGTAATTTGCTTCTTAACGTATTAACTGAAGGAGTTAATGTTGTGGAAAGAGAGGGAATCAGCTTTAGGCATCCATGCAAGCCTCTCTTGATTGCTACTTACAATCCAGAAGAGGGTGCTGTTCGTGAACACTTACTAGATCGTATTGCAATTAATTTGAGGTACAGATGCTTGTATTTACCTAATGGAACAAGTTATCTAATTTTTAAGCCTTCTCATTCTATTCTACTAATGGTGCACCCTTCTTTTGCAGTGCAGATCTTGAAATGAGTTTTGATGACCGTGTTGCAGCCGTGGGTATTGCAACACAATTTCAGGAACATAGTTCTGAAGTCTTTAAAATGGTTCAAGAAGAAACAGAATATGTAAAAACTCAGGTACAAGGGCAGGAAAAAAAAAATAGTAGTTTGTTTGCATGCTAGATTGTTATTATCATGATGGAGGGGCTGGAGAAGGAGAATCTTGAGTATTTTATTTATTAGAAAAAAGAAGGATCTAATGCATTTTATTTATAAAAAAAGAATGGGCTGTGCATCTTTCTTTTAATGTTGGTCTTTAGATCTTGTTGATATATTGTTTCCGTGTCATTATTAGTCCTCATTATATTTTTTCAGATTGTAAGAGATATTTCTAGTATTAAATTCAGTACCACACAGATGGTGGTAGGTGACAGAAAATTAATGTATAGTATTATGTACTAAATATACAAGAAAAAGAAGAACAACAGTATGCCATCCTTTCCTTATTTACAGATTTGTTTGTCTTGCCCACATGCCTATTCATTCCTATTTGGTTGGATTCCTCGGTTCATGTTATGCCTTAGATGGAATAGCCTGTTTTTCTAGCTATTAGTTTCTAAAGATTAAGACAATTAACTCTTCTTTTTAAAGATTGTCTTTTCAAACAATCTTCCGTTTAAGGGTATAATATTGGTATAGAATGTGATTCTTGTTTCTTTTTTTTATATATATGAAATCCTGCGTTTTTCCATAGCATCAGCAGTACTAAGTTTTCTTAAAGATAGGGCTGCACTTTTTAAAAGGCTCCATACAAGTCTGCTATGAATGAGTATCCTTAAGGATGATATGAAACAAAGAGTCAAAAAACTATGTTTGATGAAACTAGAGTACCAACTTCACTCTTAAAATATCTTGAAAGATTATTGATATAGTCACACAGAAGCATGTGTACCCATAACTTGTGGGCAATAGATGAAATTTGTTTGATTCGTTTCCATAAAATTTACATGTTGCAGATCATTTTGGCAAGAGAGTATCTAAAGGATGTCGTTATAAGCAGAGAACAATTAAAGTACCTGGTTTTGGAAGCTCTTCGAGGTGGTTGCCAGGTTTATACTGTGAAACTCATTATTAAGATACGACAGGTTTTGCATGAGTTCTTCTTTCCTTTTGGTTACAATATTAGGTGAAGCCATGGATTGTTCTACCATTGCATTGAAACCTAGCTTGAGCTGCCATATGAATTGAAGACTAAATGCTTTCCCTCCCTCTCATTGCTTCCCTGGAAACTAAACTACCTGGGACCACATTAACCTTTAGCATTGGCTATGCATTAGTGAAGCGTGACTCAATCCACATGGTATTTGCTAAATCTGAGTGATGATGCATTATTTACCACCTGCAAGAAGACGCCTCTCGTCATCCACAAAAATATGGTTGAAACCCATTACCAGAGTTCTGACAATTTCTATTTGACCCATAGTGCTAATATATAGAAAAGTACATTTATGCAAATGCCCTCCGTTCCCTCTTCAGAGCTTTTGAAATATAGATCAGGATCATCAGACTTTTATAAGATAAGAGTTTTCATACGAATTTTAATTTCTTTACCTATTGTTGCATAATCTCCCGACTTTTATTTTGGCATGCTGTCTTCAGTAGTTGAATGCAGCCCCAAAACAGAAAGAATGCTATAGTTTTTATGCAGGGGGGTTTGCCATGGCCATTAAATGCCAGTTTGAAAGGAGTAAAATGGATGGTTAAGTGGAATTTAAAATATTGCTGATCATTGTTGCAGTGATAAAAATTTAAAATACTAGGGCAACATGTGAGATCTGTAACGCTTACGAGTAAAATGTAATTTTATGTTTATAATTTATATTGCCCAAACATAATGTAAATAAAACATGTGAGATCTGTGACAGTCGAAGGTAAATTGAAAAGCCAATGCTTATTTTTACAACTTAGAAAACACAAGGGAAATAGAGCTTGGTTTCCATGATTTTTATTGCCCCAACCGACGGTGGTGGTCATGACTCATGCCAAGTCAGATAAACAATCTCTTGAAAACAGGTGTAGCCGCTTACATCTTTCCATACCCTGACCTCATATTGGCAAGATCCTAGGGGACCATCCTTTTTATTTTACCTTCTCTAATTCAGCATATCATCAATACTGATGTGGAGTCAAGGAAATTTCTATTCATATATCTTGACTTGACCATCTCTTACCATTTGTCCTTTTCTTATGCTTCTGATTTTGACATGTTACTTGTTTGCTGTAACTGGACCAGAAATTAACCTTCAAAGTTTCATTGGGAATATCAGGGGCATAGAGCTGAGCTATATTCTGCTCGTGTTGCAAAATCCTTAGCTGCTCTAGAAGGACGAGAAAAAGTTAATGTTGACGACCTGAAAAAAGCTGTTAAGTATACTTCTTTCTGTCTTATCAAAAAATATTAAAAATGTTGTTAAGTGTACTTCTGAAAGTTTATGTACATTTCTTCTGCATAGGAAGCAAATGCGCTAGTTTATGTAACTCAATTTGTTTTATCTTTAGAAAAGAAAATGAGGCATATAATTATCTTTAAAAGCCTTCATTGAAATTGGCAAGCAGAGCCTGAGGCATCTAGTTTATGTAACTCAATTTGTTCATCATATTTCATGAATTAGCAGCTCACTTGAGTAATGAAATAACTTTTGCACTTCGCATCTTAATAGTTTTGTCGATCAGCATTCACATCATTACTTTTTCAATTGGCGAGCATATACAACAAATTTTCATTATGAGAGTACCTACTGCAGGTAGAACTGGTCATTCTTCCTCGTTCAATCATCACCGAGAACCCACCAGAACAGCAAAATCAACAGCCTCCACCTCCACCACCTATATATATGAAATCCTGCGTTTTTCCATAGCATCAGCAGTACTAAGTTTTCTTAAAGATAGGGCTGCACTTTTTAAAAGGCTCCATACAAGTCTGCTATGAATGAGTATCCTTAAGGATGATATGAAACAAAGAGTCAAAAAACTATGTTTGATGAAACTAGAGTACCAACTTCACTCTTAAAATATCTTGAAAGATTATTGATATAGTCACACAGAAGCATGTGTACCCATAACTTGTGGGCAATAGATGAAATTTGTTTGATTCGTTTCCATAAAATTTACATGTTGCAGATCATTTTGGCAAGAGAGTATCTAAAGGATGTCGTTATAAGCAGAGAACAATTAAAGTACCTGGTTTTGGAAGCTCTTCGAGGTGGTTGCCAGGTTTATACTGTGAAACTCATTATTAAGATACGACAGGTTTTGCATGAGTTCTTCTTTCCTTTTGGTTACAATATTAGGTGAAGCCATGGATTGTTCTACCATTGCATTGAAACCTAGCTTGAGCTGCCATATGAATTGAAGACTAAATGCTTTCCCTCCCTCTCATTGCTTCCCTGGAAACTAAACTACCTGGGACCACATTAACCTTTAGCATTGGCTATGCATTAGTGAAGCGTGACTCAATCCACATGGTATTTGCTAAATCTGAGTGATGATGCATTATTTACCACCTGCAAGAAGACGCCTCTCGTCATCCACAAAAATATGGTTGAAACCCATTACCAGAGTTCTGACAATTTCTATTTGACCCATAGTGCTAATATATAGAAAAGTACATTTATGCAAATGCCCTCCGTTCCCTCTTCAGAGCTTTTGAAATATAGATCAGGATCATCAGACTTTTATAAGATAAGAGTTTTCATACGAATTTTAATTTCTTTACCTATTGTTGCATAATCTCCCGACTTTTATTTTGGCATGCTGTCTTCAGTAGTTGAATGCAGCCCCAAAACAGAAAGAATGCTATAGTTTTTATGCAGGGGGGTTTGCCATGGCCATTAAATGCCAGTTTGAAAGGAGTAAAATGGATGGTTAAGTGGAATTTAAAATATTGCTGATCATTGTTGCAGTGATAAAAATTTAAAATACTAGGGCAACATGTGAGATCTGTAACGCTTACGAGTAAAATGTAATTTTATGTTTATAATTTATATTGCCCAAACATAATGTAAATAAAACATGTGAGATCTGTGACAGTCGAAGGTAAATTGAAAAGCCAATGCTTATTTTTACAACTTAGAAAACACAAGGGAAATAGAGCTTGGTTTCCATGATTTTTATTGCCCCAACCGACGGTGGTGGTCATGACTCATGCCAAGTCAGATAAACAATCTCTTGAAAACAGGTGTAGCCGCTTACATCTTTCCATACCCTGACCTCATATTGGCAAGATCCTAGGGGACCATCCTTTTTATTTTACCTTCTCTAATTCAGCATATCATCAATACTGATGTGGAGTCAAGGAAATTTCTATTCATATATCTTGACTTGACCATCTCTTACCATTTGTCCTTTTCTTATGCTTCTGATTTTGACATGTTACTTGTTTGCTGTAACTGGACCAGAAATTAACCTTCAAAGTTTCATTGGGAATATCAGGGGCATAGAGCTGAGCTATATTCTGCTCGTGTTGCAAAATCCTTAGCTGCTCTAGAAGGACGAGAAAAAGTTAATGTTGACGACCTGAAAAAAGCTGTTAAGTATACTTCTTTCTGTCTTATCAAAAAATATTAAAAATGTTGTTAAGTGTACTTCTGAAAGTTTATGTACATTTCTTCTGCATAGGAAGCAAATGCGCTAGTTTATGTAACTCAATTTGTTTTATCTTTAGAAAAGAAAATGAGGCATATAATTATCTTTAAAAGCCTTCATTGAAATTGGCAAGCAGAGCCTGAGGCATCTAGTTTATGTAACTCAATTTGTTCATCATATTTCATGAATTAGCAGCTCACTTGAGTAATGAAATAACTTTTGCACTTCGCATCTTAATAGTTTTGTCGATCAGCATTCACATCATTACTTTTTCAATTGGCGAGCATATACAACAAATTTTCATTATGAGAGTACCTACTGCAGGTAGAACTGGTCATTCTTCCTCGTTCAATCATCACCGAGAACCCACCAGAACAGCAAAATCAACAGCCTCCACCTCCACCACCTCCTCCACAAAATGAAGAATCCGGGGAAGAGCAAAATGAGGAGGAAGAACAAGAGGTTTGTTAACATTGAATAAAGTTTAAACTTCACGTACAGATCAGTGCAGAGGGCTTCTTTTGTTTCTAAGTGACTATCGCTATAAATCAAGTAATAATTGTGGTGTTTTTCAATTCAGTTTTTGGCTTTAATATTTTTCTACAAGATTTAACAGGGAAACACAGGTTTAATTTTGGGAGTTTCACTAAAACACCCAAAATGGGGGCTGAAATTATAAAAAAACCGAACACCCAAATATAAACACACCCAAAACCCATCATTACACACACTCAAAACCCATTTATAAACACACCCAAAAAATATACAATTGTTGATTTTGGGTGTGTTTCTATGTTTAAATAGTGTTTGGGTTTTTTTATAAATACATGTCTAGGATTGATTTATTTATAAATTTGTATTTAATTTTTATGCAAACTTCCTTATGTAACCAGGATGAAAATGATGAAGAAAATGATGAAGAGAATGAACAAGAGCCTCAAATTCCCGAAGAGTTTATCTTTGATGCAGAAGGGGGTTTGGTGGATGAGAAGCTTCTTTTTTTTGCACAACAAGCACAGAGACGCAGAGGGAAGGCTGGGAGAGCAAAGAATGTTATATTTTCAGAAGATAGAGGTCGATATATTAAGCCAATGCTTCCAAAGGTTACTACTCCCATCTTAGAGTTTCAGAAATTTTAGAAATGTTTGCTTTGAAAAATTTTATTGACCGTTCATCTTTTCTGAACAAGCTTTGTCTTTAACAGGGCCCTATAAGGAGATTAGCGGTTGATGCGACCCTTAGAGCTGCTGCACCGTATCAAAAGTTGCGTAGGGAAAAGAACACTCAAAGTGGTAGGAAAGTGTTTGTGGAAAAAACTGATATGAGAGCGAAGAGAATGGCACGAAAAGCAGGAGCACTGGTATATTGACACCATACTTTAATTACTTGCACTCATCCTTGCACTTTTAGTATATGTATATAATATATGCATATACATATATTTACTTGTGTGCCTGGATGTGATGAATGGCTTATGATGGAAGGTGCTCTCAATATTTTTCGTATAAGATTTTTTGAGCCTCAGTTTTGGCATAGGTTGCCATACTGCATGAAATCCATAAAATTTGATAATCAGCTGTGGAGAAACTTTGACCAAATAGTTTACCCTTTTTATTGTCATCTTAAATTATTCGAGTATTGTTGGTCAAAAAGTTCCTCATGCAAATGCTTAGCATAGTGAAACACTTTTCATTTTACTTCATGGCAGGTTATATTTGTTGTTGATGCAAGTGGAAGCATGGCATTGAATAGAATGCAGAATGCAAAGGGTGCAGCACTCAAGTTACTAGCAGAAAGTTATACAAGCAGAGATCAGGTGACAAAAACTTTCGTACTTAATTTAAAAGTTGCGACTACCATAAGTTTGGTCTGAAGGAGATTTCTTCTGACTTTTTCTTGCTGAGAAAACCCAAAAAAAAAATATGGAGAAGAAGAAAAGCAGAGTTTGTACCAGTGCAGAACGTTTATAGGGCTGGCTATTAACTGGGACTCAATTTGATGACATAATAACAGTAGGATATAGAATCCAGCCATGTTCTGGAGATTGCACTTTCCACTTGCTTCATACATGTGATGAATCAGATGTTTCCCCGAATTTCTATAAGAATTTGATTTAGGTATTCTATGTGTGCTTCTGATCAGAAAACCATGAAAGCAAACATAATAAGATATTTGTTTCTATGTCTATCCCAATAATTACCTTGTAATGTGTTAACTGGTAATGTCCTTTAGGTTTCTATCATTCCTTTCCGTGGAGATTCTGCAGAAGTTCTTCTGCCTCCTTCTAGATCAATTTCAATGGCAAGAAGACGTCTTGAGAGACTTCCATGTGGTGGAGGTTCTCCCCTTGCCCATGGTCTGACCACGGTATGTAAATTCCCTTTCAAGTACTAGCATATCCACCCCCACGTAACTGACTATATTCTGAAATTTAAACTGCTTAGGCTGTTAGGGTTGGACTAAATGCAGAGAAGAGTGGTGATGTTGGACGTATCATGATTGTTGCAATAACAGATGGTAGAGCCAATATATCACTAAAAAGATCCACTGACCCTGAAGCTGCTGCTGCTAATGATGCTCCAAGACCGTCGTTGCAGGAGTTGAAGGTAAATCCTGAGCGCTTTGGTTGGCATATTAATTGTAGCAAGCCTGGACCCCACAGCCCACGGCCTTAATGAGATGATGGTCTATGCCAAGCCTAATTGTCAGAATTGAGCAACCTGATCTGAGATTGCATGAGACTTTTCCCAAAAATTATATTAATAATTTAATATCTGAACGAAAGGGTAATACACAAATTGTTTTTGAATTATCAGATATCATCTTTCTAATGATAAACACAAAACACTCAAAACATAAGGTGCTAGTGTAGTTGCGCATTTCTACCCTCAGTTTTTTTCTCTATTGCATTCACCTGTGGTAATTCTATTGGTGCTTCTTAATGAAGGATGAGATTCTTGAGGTTGCTGGTAAAATCTACAAATCAGGGATGTCTCTCCTTGTCATCGACACTGAAAATAAGTTCGTTTCAACTGGTTTTGCTAAGGAGATTGCCAGAGTGGCTCAAGGTTCTGTCCAACTTATTATATCACCTATTGTTCTTCATCTGTGAAGACAGTAACATAATCTCATTATAAGATTTTCTCTGCAGGAAAATATTATTACTTGCCAAATGCGTCAGATGCTGTAATCTCAGCTGCAACAAAGGACGCTTTATCAGCCCTGAAAAGCACATGAAGCATCAGAAATTGTTGTTTTAAGTTGTTCCATTTCGGCTAGTTTGGCCATAAAAGCAGCTAGTTCCTATAAAAATATATTTTCTTCTATTGGAACAGAACAAGAGGGACATGAGGGGATGCATGAAACGACCTGACCCTAATTCCACTTCGAAATCCGGGTCGAAACCTGTCTAAAACTGACACCTGGTGGTTGGGGGTCAAAATGACCAAAATGCCCCTAGAAGCAAAACAGAAACTCTGGGGCCCTAACTTGTGGTTGCGCCTGTTAACTGTAGGCTGCCTACGTACCCTTACTGAGGGATCAAGCCACACGTAGTTCTTTCCTCTGTTCCTGACCTACAACTGATTCCTTGTTCTGTACTGGTTTAATTATCCGTATACATACTCTAGGGCTGACGTTTCTGGAGTATCCGGGACTCCGTTTTATGATCCGTCAGATACTGTACAATCCTGAAATACCTAGATCAACATACTTGAAAATGACTGCGATCCAACAGTTCAAACGTATCGAACCTGGAAATCGCATAATAGGCGAGATCCGTTCGGACGATATCCGAATTAAGATCCGCGACATCCTACGCGCTCATGAGGACTAGGAGATTATTCTATGACTGACTGTGGTCCCCACTCTGTTACCCACGCGCCGCCACACGCGCGAGTGGCTAAGCGATAACGCTTCGCCGGAAAATCTCAACATCTCGGCTCCAGACTCCTATCCTAGGTGAAACACCCTATTTGGACCCACTTTTGTTCTTGGACCTACCCCAAAAAATGGCCAGAAATGGCCGGAACAGTGACCCGAAAGTCTGCTAAAGCCTAACTTAAAAATCGAACGATCTACGCTTGAAATCTCTGAAATCCTACCCAACCAACAGCTAGAGCACGAGAAATAGGTGAGAAATCATACCTCACTCATCAGAAACGGTAGCCGGATGACGGAGAACGAGCGCTTGAAATTTTCTCCCA